AGGTGTCTTCAACAAATTGAGAGACAGATCAAGTAAAACACTAACAGACTTGAGGAAAACAGAGAAAACCCTAGAACGATGTCGAAAGACAATACAAGAACATAATGACAAAATAAATGAAACATTAGAAATGATAGAAAATCTACATGCAGAAATACAGAAGATTAATACTAAATTGTCAGAAATAGATAACTCATTGAACAGGCAAAGGAGCAGAATTGAATCAATGGAAGACAGAATTAATGAGACTGAAGGTAAGTACCTCAATATTTCTTTGGAAAGGGAACAATGAGAAAAAAAGATCAAAACAAAATGAAGAAAGCTAAGGTTCATGTAGGATACCATCAAAAGGAATAACCTGCATATAATCAGAATTCCAGAACAGGAAGAGTCAGACAAAACCACTAAGAAAATTGTCCAAGATTTGTTGGAAGAGAATTTTCCTGATATGATGAAAGATGAGAATATATCCATTCAAGAAGTCCAAAGAATCCCAAACAGGATAGACGGCAAAAGAAACTCACCAAGACATATCATCATCAAACTCACCAAAACCAAAGACAAGGAAAGAATCCTGAAAGTATCTTGGGAAAAACAAAAAGTTACCTACAAGGGGAAACCAATAAGAATAAGCTCCAATTTCTCAGCAGAAACAGTGCAGGCAAGAAGACAATGGGATGGTATATATAAAACCCTGAAACAGAAAAATTTCCAACCAAGAATTATGTACCCATCAAAATTGTCCCTCAAATATGATGGTTTCCAGATAAGCAGAAATTAATGGAATTTGTTAAAAACTAGTCCACCCTTACAAGAGATGCTAAAGGGAGTCCTTTGGACAGAGAAGCAACAACAGTGAACAACAACTGATCATTAAAACACATGATGACATAACCCAGACCAACCCAACTATGGAAGTATCCAAAGTAAATAAGCCTACAAGATTGTAAACAAGGAACCAGAGAAATCAATTGACAAATGAGGCCAACTACAAACCAAAAAGAGGCAAAAAATTGTGTAGTTACAGAACTTATAAATGGTAGGGAAGTCAAAACAACTACAAGATAGAATGGACTGTTCTACACTTGGGAAGAAAACTATAAATCACAGGGTAACCTCAAAGAAATATGATGAACCTTCACATCAAAGTCAAAAAGAGGACCAGCACAAAAATTAGCAAATACTAAAACAATAGCAATGAAGGAAATGATAACACGATTCATAAATAAAATGAGCTCAGCAAAGAAAATTATATGGAACAAAGAAATCAACATCATGAAAAACCACATAAAAAATTCATACTTGTTGGTAATTACATATCCAGCAAGGGACTTATCTCTAAGATTCAGGTGGCCAGCAAACACATGAAAAGACGCTCACAATCATTGGCCATCAGAGAGATGTGAATCAAAACAATGAGATAGCATTTCACCCCAGTACTGATGGCAAGGTTCAATGAGACAGAAAATAACAAATGCTGATGGGGCTGTGGAGAGATTGGGACTCTCATACACTGCTGGTGGGACTGTGAAGTGATACAACCACTGTGGGAAGCAGTATGGCAATTCCTTAGAAAGCTGGAATTGGAGATACCATTTGACCCAGCAATCCCATTACTAGGTATATATCCTAGAGAGTTGAGAGCCAGGACAGGAACACATATATGTACTCCCATGTTCATTGCAGCACTATTTACAATAGCAAAAAGGTGGAAACAACCTATGTGCCCATCAGCGGAAGAGTGGATGACCAAACTATGGTACATACACACAATGGAATGCTATGCAGCACTAAAGAATAATGTTGCATCTGCAAACATAACATGGATGAACTTGGAGGACATTATGCTGAGTGAAATAAGTCAATCACAGAAGGACAAATGTAGTATTAGTTCATGAAAGGTTTATATATGGAAGGAAAATTTCTTTATTGGTTGCCAGGGTTGGGAGGGGAGGGGAGGGAACACTGCAAAACAAACAAAAAATGCTTTGGCCCATGTTACTTTAGTTTTATGTATTTCACTGTACATAAATTATATTTCAATAAAATGCATTTAAAAAAACAACTGTAAATGGTCTATAATCAAGGCATGGGAGCTGAACAAAGAAAAAAATTTAATCATATACTTAGACCATATAAAGATGTGGTCAGTCATCTAATTGAATGATATTAATATTTAGGAATATTCTATTATTAATTTTGACCAATAAAAATATGTTTCAAGCCTACATTTTTGCAAATAGACTTTCTGTAAATTGGTAACCAAGACCATTCAAAATTCAAATAAATCTTTAAAATAGAGCTATTTTTAAAATATTGAATTAAGTTGTAGAGTCTTTTCCATAATTTTCAGTAGTCAAACCCACTAGCCATTCCTTGGAAGAAAGATGTGGCAGTCTGCTATAATGAAGATTTACAGTGTTGGAAACCCTGTGGGGTTGTCCTGCTCTCTCCTATAGGGTCTCGATGAGTCAGAATTGACTTGACAAGAAGGGATAACAGGTAACAACAGATGACACAGATTAACTCAAGTCTAGTTACATACTACAATTGCAATGAAAGCTTAATATGTCAGCCAGAGGTAAGTCTGGCTCTCTTGCAATGTAACTGTTTTATAAAAGTTTCGTGATAGAAAATCTAGGAGTTCCAATAAAACCAAATTCACTGTTGTCAAGTCGGATCCAACCCAGAGTGACCCCTTCTTGGGTTCCCGAGGCAGTATCACTGTGGAAGTAGATTGCCCAGTCTTCCTTCTGAAGAGTAGCTGGTGGGTTTCAATTGCCTGATTAGCAGTCAAATCAAAACCTCCCTGCAGAAAAAGAAATCATATATATGATTCATACACACAGACAGAAAATACAGTCTGAGAACAATGTTTTTAAGTTGCAGAATTATAATGTATCAAGGGATCATGAGCTCAATTTAATAAGTGGCAAATAGTATTTTTGTAAGAATGGAATGGAATAGGATAGAGTAGAAAATGTCAGTATGTATTGCACATAGGAAGGTTAAGTATTCTTTTGTAAAACTTGTTCCAAATGCATGTGCAGATATGTGTATGGCTTTATTGAGGCATGAAGTAAAATATATTTTTTACTATAGCTATGTTCCAAGTTAGAGAAACACTGGCTTTAGAAAATCCTATTCTAAAGCAGAGAAAGAAATCTTGTATGTACTCATTATTGGCCAACCAGATATTCTTGAGTAGCTTTGAGACAATAAAAAATTGTTTTTATTGTGGTCTTTTGTCATTGAGTCTATTCTGACTCATGGCAATCTCATGTGTTACAGAATAGAACTGTTGCACAGTTTTCTTGGCTGTAATATTTATGGAAATAGATTGCAAGGCATTTTCTTCTGTAGTGCTGCTTGGTAGATTCAAATAGCTGCCAAAGGGCCAAGGACGTTGTATCTTCTGACCTCTAACCCCACAAGAGGAAGACAGTATCACCATCAGTAGCCAAAGGCTTATCCCTGTGAGGCCAGACATGCTGCCTCCCTCCTGCCCTTTCACCAACCCTGACACCAATCGTTCCTCCTGCAGCACCCACCACCTCTCTGCTGGGTTCAATAATTCACTGCAGTGTCCACACAGAGCTCACAAATTACGGGGTTTATTAGGGAAGCAATAAGCCACAATTCAAGTTCAGAAATGCACTCAGTCTCTCACAGCCAGCCACCTCACTTAGCAGCTGGTAGTCTCAGTAGCACATCGCTCTCTCAGTAGTGTGTGTCTCTTGTGTCTCTCTCTCAGCATTTTGTGTCTCTCATGTCTCTCAGCATTGCATGTCTCTTATGTCTCTCTCTCAGCAGCAGGTTTCTCTCACATCTCTCAGGAGCGCATTTCTCTCAGCAGCATATATTTCTCAGCCAGCAGTCAGAAAGACTCCTTCTGCCTCTAGGAGGGCTCCTTTTGAGCCTGGCAGAATGGCCAAACTAACCAATCCCAATATCAGAGTTTTATACACCTGAGAGAGAGTGAACTTCCCAGAAAATTACTTCATGCTGCTCCCAACAGAAATCTCCCAGAGTGATAACTTTAACAATCAGGAGCTACTCGGTATCTCATGGCATATTCCACCACGGAGTTTACATAGACTGAGGGCTAGAAAAGCCACACTATGTAATTTACTACACCATAACAGCCAATCTTTGGTTATGAGCCAAGCACAGATTGTGCCACCCAGGGACTTTTGTTAAGAGGTAAGACATTAAAAAACATGTTTTGACCCTGGCTAAAAACAACTAGAAGGAATTGAATCAGAAGCCTAAAAAATTTAGGATGAATTGTGCCTAACGTTTGTTAAAGTCTGAATGAAAAGAAGATTAATGAGAGAACTTCCAGCTGCCAGCAATCTAGCCAAACAAATATTCCTAGGTAGATAACACAGAAAGAACTAAAGGGCTGAGTGTAGGGTCATCAATGATAGAGAGGGAACATATTTTAGAGGTTGTCACCACAGAGCAAGCTCCCTAGTAGACCCTTGTTGTCCACGCAATTTAGAAATGTCTTCTAAAGCCCATTTATTTAAAGATAAACCATATCTTGCAGGAACATACCAGTCAAGCCTCATGACATCTTTTAATACCATGTGGTAGACAGTTTCTCATGCAAACTTTTACCCTTCACACACACCTGGATTTAAAAAAAAAAAAGGCAGGACTATCTCTGGATAAAATGGAAAACAGGAGGTCTTTTTGTTGTCTCCCTTTTGGCCTTTACCTTTCAGCCCTGCTTCCTCCCATGTCTCCAACTTAATACGATGCTAAAGATATAAGATGTTTCCTCTCCCAGGGATATGTACAGATTAATAAATCTCTAAAAATGGAATTTTAGTAACTCAGAAAGCAAGAGGAGAGACCATCATACTTAACTGATCTTGTGCAGATGTCTACACCATGCACTCTCCATTTAGCTCTCTAGTGGTAATTTTGCTCAAGATTGAGTGTTGATTACTACATAGTTATTCTAAGGGATGTGCTTTATTGTTGCTATTTAGAAATTCAAGCAGCTGCTTTCCTGGCGTGCTCATGCTTTAGAAATTGTTCAAGTAGTCTATGTAGAAGAGAAACAAGTGGTGCTTACAGCCTCCATCGATGGCTCAGTAAGGTATGGACCTTCATCCTATGAGTGCAGGGGTTGAGTATGAGAGGTGAAAGATTTTAGCTAAAGTTTGGGTATATAGCCCAAATGCAGTCTTGGTAGGCTGATTAAAAAAAGGGTAGGGGGTTGCTCAAAAGGGCTTTGAGAAGAGACCATGGATTTAGAACTCTTTTCCAAGCCCAAAGGTGGCATCTAATATGAACCCTCATTTGTGTCACTGTTGTTGTTATGCACCATCGAGTTGGACCCAATTCATAGCAACCCCTTCTTGGGTTTCCAAGGCAGTATCACTACGGAAATAGATTGTCCAACTTTCCTTCTGAGGAGCGGCTGGTGGGTTTGAACTGCTACCCTTCTGGTTAGCAGTCAAAATGTCTTAGGCACTATGCTACCAGACCTCCCCCTCATTCGTGTTAAAAAGGTGTAATGAATATTTTTAAGAAAAGTGTTTTTTGTAGAATTATTTAAAAGAATTAAGCAAGAAAGAGCTCAGAGAGATTGACCCAAGCTAAGGGAGGGCCACAGAAGTAGATATGTGTCAGAAGTCAAAGAAAAATCATGGAAAGGAACAACTAATCTTGAGAATAGTAAAACTGAGCTAATTATTTCATTGGCATTATGATTGATTTTACAAATCCAACTTGTTTTAAATTACCAGGGTAGTGCTAAACACATATAGCAAAACACACAGTGAGAGAGAGAAAGAAAGGAAATGCCATGATGTTTCTTGAGAAAAAAACCAAAACTCCTGCATATTAAAATGTCCAAAAATTATGGTAATGAATTATCCTCTTAAAAGAATGAAGTTGAATAAGATCAAGAGAAGAAGAAAGGCTTCACAGTATATTTGAAATTTTAAACATAATGAAATTGAAAAGAAAACAGTATTTGATATTGCTTAAAAGACACTTGACTGGACTGCAACAGTCATTGCTTCTAATATTGGCTCTGGTAATTAATTAGGTATGTGTGCTTGAGACTAGTTAGGCAGGAGCCAAATCATGCAGCATCTAGTGGCCATTGTTAAGGATGTAGGTCTTGATCTTGCAAGAAATAGGAAAAATTGTTGGCAGGGGAGTTAGATGATCTCATTTACATCTTTGAAAAATAATGTGTATGGGAATGGACCACAGCACGGCAAAAGTAGAAGCAAGAAAACCACCTAGAAATCTGTGATGAATATGGTGGCTTAGAAGAGGTAGTGGCAACAGTGATGAAATGAGTGGTTTGCGTTTGAAAGCTATCTAGGAAGTTAAACCAGTAAGATGTGACCTTTAACTGGGAAGAGGAGATAAGGTATAGGAGATGTCAGGAATGACACCTAGATTTCTGACATGTAAAACTAGGTGAATGTTGGTGTTAAGTAGAAAGCACTAAAAGAGGAGAAATTTTAGTACATGGAAGAATGAGGGAGCACTTTTAGGAATGTTGAATTTGAGGTAAGTCTGTCTGTGGGGTAAGAACCTATTAGGGGGAAAATAGGTAGAGGTTTTCTTTCTCAGCAACAGGATCTGGTTGTTTTATTTTTAGGAAAGATTAAGAACATAAAATTTCATCGTTAAAAAGATTACTCACAATTTGGTCCCTTGGTTCTCTACTTCTGCTTATTTTCACTTCCATTATAGCAGAAGTGTTAATTGGGGAACAAAATACGCTCACAAATCTGTGTGCCCATACCTTAGTTGTTCCAATAATTTCCTGTTCAAATCAGTTATTGCTGGCATGGAGAAATTATAATTCCTGCCAGTAAAGATCTCCCTGGATACTCAGTTCAAAGCGCCTACCTCTATTAATAACTACCTCAGAATAGAGCTATCTTCACAACTAAGTCACATCCTTTGGCTTATTAAGGCTTAGTTCTACAACAAAGGATAGGTCAGTCTGAAGACAAAATTTCAGGCTGGCAAATTGTGACTCAGGGTAGAGAAGGATCTAGAGGTAAGGAACAAGAAAGGAAGCCTAGTCAGTCATCAGGAAGAGTACCACACAGAATGTGAAATACCACTAAACCAGGAGACCAGAGGTTTCTTCAGTCCCGGGCTGAAGTCAAATGCATTAAGAATTTTTTTTTTTTTAAATTAGTCCCTTAGCACTCTAATTTTTGGAATCTCTAATGTTTAAAGTGTTGGTCCATATCACTTTGGTAAAGACACTGGCAAGGTCATGATATGTGGTGCTAGGCTGGCGGTTCAAACCCACCAGCCACTCCTCAGGAGGAAGGTTGGGCAATATACTTCCGTAGTGATACTGCCTCGGAAACCCAAGGAGGAATTGTTATGAGTCGAGTCCAACTCAGTGGCACATAACAACAACAATGACAGGGAATTAAAATATATCAGGAACATAAGATACTCATGTTAACTTCACAGGATACTGTCAGGTGTGAAAATCCCAGTTGGATATCTCATATTATACCTTGTGGAGCTGGGACACTACTTGGACTTTGTGGAAGCTACTCCTAGTTCCTTAGCTTGTCTTCCTCCTCCTGTGTCACTGCATCATTTGTTGCTGAGGCTGAAATCAAGAAATAAAAGGAAGATCCTAAATACTATTTTATTTTTCCATAGACTTACACATCTGCTAATTATATTCTATTGATTTAAACCATCTGGGCTCTTTAAAAGGACCTCTTGGAGCAATTTGATGGTGAAATAATGCATACACATGAGCACCATTTTGCCATTGTATTTCAGAACTCAGTAGTAAAAATTAAGAGTGTTTCCACAATAATAGCAATTGTGTATGGAAGTCAAGAAGACTTTGATAACAGTAAAAGCCTCACTAGGTGTCTCCTCCCACAAGCTCTGCTGATGCTGGTATAGAAAGTAAATAGCTGTGATACAGCCCATTCTAAATACGTATCAGTCAATGTCGTTTCTGATTAGCTTGAATGGGAAGTATTATCTTAGGAAAAATATGTTCCTTGCTTTCTGGCTTTGATAAATGGATATTAGAAGCACAAATTCAAACATTGATGGTTCCCAAAATGGTTTTGGACTATAGAGTTATACCTGATAAAAAAATGTTTATGATATGACTAGCTCCACAATATTTAATAGGAAGAATCATGGACTTGTGTTTGAAATCCCTAGTAGACCAGTGAAAATCCATAAAAAAATGATCCAATGAACAGAATAACTTTCACTTTCACTGAATTTCCCAATTACTTTCTTCTCCCTATCTTCCTTTAGGCTCTGGCAAGCCCTCAATGGTCATTACTGTGGATATTTTGGACAACGAAGGATCTTTGAATTATCACATGCAATTGATTTCATTTTACCTTGTGATGTTAATGAATGTCCCATAGAAATAAAAGAAGAAAGTAAGTTCACAGAGAAGAAGCAAAAATATGAATATCCTCTGATATTTGACCAGAAAAGGTAAGACAATTGGCTTTTATTTATATAGGCAGACAAGAATTAAACTATATTAATACTGTGACACTGTGCTGAGCATGAGAAATTCAAAGGGGAAAAACTCATAACTTTTCAATAATTTTTAAGTCTATTGGAAGAGAGAAATATGTAAGCAAAAGATTATAATTCAATATAAGTAATACTTCTGGGAATATTTAATTCTTTAGATAATCACAGAAAGCAGAATAATATTTAACCAAAGAGTCAATTGGTATATTCCTTAATTTTCTCCTTTTCTCACTTTATACACATGGTCAGAGTGACTTATCTACAGTGAAAATACCACTATGCTACCAAAAAAAAAAAAAAAAAACCCAAAGACTGAATACATGAAATACTGTGAACATCTGATAAAGTATTTTGAGGCTTGAAGTTCAGTGGTAAGGAGTAATAAAAGTTTAAAGGAGCCAAATCACAATGGAATTTTCATGCACCAACAAAAGAATTTTAAGCTTTGTAGGATTGACCGTGACAGGATACTCAAGAGAAAAAGCAGATCTGAAGTAAAAGATAATGAGTTTGACCTTTGACAAGTTTCAGTCTGAGGTATTTGTGGGACATACAAGTGAAGGTATTTAATAAGAATGGAGATATATCTGTTTGAAGCTCTGTAAAGAGATCATAGGTATAGATAAAGATTTTGGAATTAATTAGCATAGGGGAAGGCCCTCAACAAGACGGATTGACACAGTCACTGTAACGAGCTCAGGTATAGCAGGGATCTTGAGGCTGGCACAGGACTGGGTAGTGTTTCATTCTTTTGTATATAGGGTCACTATGAGTTGGAGATGACTTGACAGCACCTAACAAAAACAAAAGCTTTGGTAGCATAGTGTCTAAGGCATTTTATTACTAACCAGAAGGTTGGCAGTCCAAACTCATTAGCCACTCCACAGAAGGAAGACTGGGCAATCTACTTCTGTAAAAATTTATTGCCTCAGAAACTCAAAGGGGGCCACTATGAATCAGAATTGACTTGATGGCAATGACTTTGGGTTTTTTTTTTTTGGTAGCATAGTGGTATTTTCACTGTAGATAAGTCACTCTGACCATGTGTATAAAGTGAGAAAAGGAGAAAATTAAGGAATATATCAAGAAGCAACATCCAAGGATAGCCTAAAAGATGGTGGAATAGGCAGACAAGCTAAACAGACCCTCTTCAACAACAACAAAAAAAGAGAAACCAATTGACATAGATACAGAAGATAAACCTAGAGCCCTGACCTTTGAAAGGAAAGATACAGAAGTGGATTAAATATCAACTAGTAGAAGAACCTAAATGAAAACAGTGAATAAAGACACAAACAGAGCTACAGACTGTCAGCTATCCTGATGGGATGGACAGTTTGAATCCAAGTGGTGATAGGACCTGAGAATTAACCTAAAAATTGGCTCTGCTCACCAAGGGCTGCACAGATGACTGCACTAGTGGCTGATGACTAAAAAGGAAAGCAGCCAAGAAGGAGACAAACTGAGCTGTGGACTTTCGGCTGTCTGGAAGGCACAGCAATTTTGAATGTTTACAACAGTGTGGCCATTTTGGATATTTAAGGTTACAGCATTCTCATTCAGATTCCAGGGACCTATGGATAGTCTCCACTTGCCAAGGATAGCATGGACATACTGGAGGCTGATGACTGAAAAATGCGATATTCTCCTTGTTGCTCTTATAGCCTACACCCTCTTGGTGAACAGGGGTGCAGCCACTCCTCACCTCTACCCACCTTCTGGGTTGACGGGAATTCCATCCCAGGCTGTGTGCTCTGAAGGAGCTTGGGTGTCCTGTCCTGCCTTCCCCCCACCCCACAATTTGTTTTTGTTTGGTTGTTTTCAAGTTACTCTTTTTTTTTTTTTTTTCCTTCTTCTTCCTTTTTTTTAATTCTTTCTTTTTCCCTTCACAGATTCCAGTGTCTGGTGTTTTCTATCATCTATTTTGCTATTTCCCTTTTTTTTTTTTTTTTCTTTCTTGTGGTTCTTCCCATCCTTTGTTTTTCTTTTTGCATTTTTGCCATTGTTTCCCTTCATGATTATCTTACTCTAGCTCTTTTCTATTATTCCTCCTTTCCAAAATATTATGGGTTTTTCACCCTCCTTTTCTATTTACATTTCTTTTGTCTTTTTAAAGTATTACTTAAAATATTTCATCTCATTTATTGCCTTTCCTCTTTTATTTTTTTCTTTCATTTTTGATAATTGTTCCTGTGTATTTACATAGTGTGTGTTTCTTTTAATTTGTTTTTACTTTTTTTGGTGGCTTTTTTTGATTGTTGTTTTTGTCTAACAACTATGGGAGTCAGGAACTCTACTCATACAACCCAACCATACCTGCAACTCCTGCAGCCCCACCTACTGAGTGAGGGCCACCAGTTGCTTCTGCACCAACTGGCCAACAACAGATGACAGCCAATATGAGCCAGATTCATCCTTAATGGCTTTTCACAAACAACTAACAGAGATCTGTACACCCCATCTCATTCTCTATTATACCCACCAGGAGACAGGTGATGTGTGCATTAGTGCTGCCAATGAGAAAATAGAGGAGTACAGTATCCTGCATACTCAGATACATCCAAAATAAATAAATAAATAAATAAAACAAAAGTCTTGGGCAAATCACTCCAACATGTAAACACAACAAAGTCACAGTGTCTCAGAAATAACAGACCATCAACAGTTCACACAAAGAACAAGATAAAGTAGTAGAAACAAAGGCCCAGAACACATCTTTGAGGAGGAACTATCATTGGAACTCCCTGATAAGGAATTCAAAAGAATTATATTTAGGTACCTTCAATGAATTGAGAGACAGATCAAGGAAAACAGAGAAAATCATAGAACAATTTTGGAAAACAATACAAGAACAAAATGACAAAATAAATGAAAGTTTTAAAATGATACAAAATCTACAGATGGAAATCCAGAAGAAGAACACTAAATTTTCAGAAATACATAACACATTAAATGGACAAAGGAGTAAAATTGAATCAATGGAAGACAGAATTAGTGAGATGGAAGACAAATACCACAACATTCTTTAGAAAGGGATCGATCAGAAAAAAAAAAAAAAAATCAAAACAAAATTAAGAAAGCCTAAGATTCATGTGAGG